CATATTGGGCGATTAAAGAATTCAATTATAATTTGAAAGATGCTTGTGAGAAGAGATTGTTACAATTGAATGAATTGGAAGAATTAAGAAATGAATCTTATGATAACGATAGAATTTATAAGGAGAAACTAAAGTTATGGCATGATCAAAAGATTAACCAGAAGAACTTTGAACGAGGACAAGAAGTTTTGGTTTACAATACAAGGCTGAAGTTATTCCCTGGGAAATTGAAGACTCGCTGATTAGGACCCTTTACTGTGACTAAAGTTTATACTTACGGAGTTGTTGAAATTGAAGATCAAAAGACTGGGAATAGACTTAAAGTAAATGGACACAGATTAAAGCCGTTTTTAAGGGTAAAAGACCAATTTTTAAAGAGGTTTTAATGGCCAGTCAACATGAATAATATCTGAATAGGTCGGGCTGACAACGTTAAACCAAACGTTTTATGGGAGGCAACCCATAGTTATCTTTATTTTTATTTTTATTGCGATTATAGTGTTTTTGTTTGAAATTCTCATTAGTTTGTGGTAGTATTGAACTCTACTACTCGTATTTACCCTTGAATCATCATAAAAATTGGATCCATAGAAAAAATTGGAACGCATTCGGACCAGACCAAAACTATGAAATTTTTGCCTTGGGCACCAACAGCGGGCTCGACGTCGCCGACGGTGGGTTTTTCCCGAGTCCAGACAATTATTTCTCAAGGCTTGCCGATGGCGCCATCGATGACATTGACGGCGAGATGACGGTTTTCGAAGTTTGAAATGTCAATTTTTGGCGGTTTTAGGCGAGATTTACTCTCTATAAACTTCCAAACTTGGTTCTTAAATTCATATTACCCAAAAATGAATTAAAACTCCACTAAATTTATCCCTATGGCTTCCAATTCCACTGAAAACCCTAGATTTTGAGTGTTCAACTGGAGAAAGTTCATTAGTTATGAGGCGCAACGAATCTTCAACAAAGTGCTGACAAAGAGGAGATTAATCAAAGAAAGAGGATTCGTGAATAGAGGATTGAACAATCCTTCGACAGTAATGAACAATCCTTCGACAG